GCGCTCCATCAGCATCTTCACGTCAGCTTTCTCCTCCGGAATCAGCTTCAGAGAGGAGGGCTTGTTCACTCGGTCCATGGTAAATGGAGGGAGTCCACTCGACTGCCCCGGTGTCGACTCATCCTGGCAGTAGAACCAGGTCGACTGCCAGCCTCTGACTGACTCGGGAAATGTCATGGCTGGGAAGGTGCTCTTGTTTCTCACCTGGATCCCCAGACCCCCACACATTTGGACCACTCGGGTTCTTTCGTCGCCTGGACTCGCCTTCTTCACAGTTTGAGAGCGACATGTGAATATGTGCTTGAACAAGCCCCAATGCGGTCGACAGCCCAGAAAACCCTCGCACATGGACACAAACGCGGCAAGATAGGCGATAGAATTCGGGGTGAAGTGGTGGAGTTGCGCTCCAAAAAATTTCAAGAAACCACGGAAGAAAATGCTCGGCGGCAAAGAGAATCCGCGGTCGACATGGCTAGCTAGAAGCACGCACTCACCCTCTTCCGGCTGGGGCTGCCACTCTTTCCCCGGAAGCCTCGCAGCTTCATGGGGGATCAGGCCCTCGTTGGCCATGTCGAGGAGATCCTTCTCCGTGATGGTCGACTGGATCCAATCTCCCTGGACCCAGCCTTTCGGCAGGCGGGATCTGGACGAAGACCCACCGCGGCTGGTGGATCTCCCCTTCACCTTCTCCGTCGCCGACGCCTTCTTCGCGCGCTCCAGCGCCGCCGTCTTCTCCTTGACCATGGCTTCCGGCGGGGCGCATGAGGAGAAGTGGTGCGGAGGCGAGAGCAAGCGCGTTGGGCGGAGACGAGGGAGGCAGAGAGAGAATGCTGAGGCACTGTTCAAAAAACCCTCGCCGGGCGCATTTATAAGATCCCTTCCGAGTGGATGACAGGTGGGCCCGGCAGATCTAATCATATCCTGGAACTGTTACGTGGGCGGGATACGTGGCGAAGAAAGCGGCGCGGGGATCGAGGCGTCTATGTCCCGTCCCATTCGAGCGCCGCGGTCCGCTCCGCTTCGCGCGTTTCCCCAAATTTCGCATCCCGCGGAATCCGCGAACGGCTGATCGGTCTGTCAGGCGCGGGATTTCCTGCGATCCGTCGCTCGGAAATCGACGAAGCCCGAAAGATCACTCGACGAAAGAAAAGAATGGATCGAGTCGACTGAAGACAAGTTGCTCACTATCAACGAAGAGATTCTCTGGTTCAGAACAACGCACGACCAGTGTGCAAAGGTTAATCGGAAACAGCATCAACTCCTCCGTCACTCAAAGCCTCAATCCATTCGCGGGCTAATGATGGAGTCATGTACCTAGGGTAGGGTCACAGACCTGATCTAAGTACCCTGCCCAAGGACACCCTTAGAAGAGGTCACCTTCCAGTCGACCAACGAGGGACTCACTCGACTGACTTGAAGGACTCGACCACGAAGACTCACTCGACTACCAGGAGGTCAAAAGGCACTCTGCACTGCAACGGCCTGTAGTTAAGTAGACTTTATGATAGTTAAGACACTTTATGTGGGACGTTACCAGTAACGCCTCGGACTAAATACACCTTAAACCCTTCATTACGTGGGCTGGCTGGGGTCCTGACGCACTCTATATAAGCCACCCCCCCTCCACAGGCAGAAGGGTTCGGCATCCTGTAACTCATATACACATAATCCACTCGACCGCCTCCGGGCTCCGAGACGTAGGGCTTTTACTTCCTCCGAGAAGGGCCTGAACTCGTACATCTCTTGTGTTTACAACCTCTCCATAGCTAGGACCTTGCCTCTCCATACCTACCCCCACTCTACTGTCAGACTTAAAACCACGACACTTCCTCCCTTTCTTTCGGAGGTGCTGACCCGCTGCGAGGCAGATATGAACAAGTGACATATGTCTTGTAGGCGCGCGGCGTACCGACTGCCTGCCCCTGCCCTGCCTCGTCTTTTTTATCCGCAACAACCAGATGTTTCCGTCCAAGAAAGCAGGGGAAGATGTGCTTGCCGTGCCGACTGCCGACGCCCGACGTGAACCAACCAAAAAGGTAGCCAAGCCAAGCGAGCCGTGTGTGTACGTACCAAAGCAAGCAGCTTTCCTTTCTGCCGCTGGTTGCCCCCTGTTCCTCCAAAGCTGCTGCGTTCCTCCGCACTGCACGGACTTCGGCGTCACACACACACACGGCGATGCACCGCTGCCTGCGCCACATTTCGGCGGCCACGTAAGTGTGTAAATACGTCGTTTTCACCGTTTTGGTAGGTCAGTCACAAGACTACAAGCGCACAACATCCTCTAGCTGAACAATTTAAATTTCTTACTATTCGGTGTAGAGTCGTGCTATACACACGACCGGAATCGCACGATTCCAACACGATGCTTAAATCTAGCCGAACATGCATATGTTTGAAAAGGGCATCGGCCGCTCGATTTACCCATCGTGTAAAGGTCGGGCACAACTATCCTTCGTGAAGTAGTTTCGTTCGGTGTATGGGCATCTCTAACCCTAAAATCAGCCAGCCATTCAACCCTAAAACTTTGGTCTTAAAGTTCACAAACTCAAAATAAAAACATATCAAATCGTAGGTGATTGAAAATGTTCAAATAGAAGAGTAGTTCTAATTTAAAAATTACAACCCAACAATATTTTAAAATTAACGTGGTTCATACTTGAATTAAACTAGGACATATGTTCTAGTTCTCCCCTTTAACCGTCTAAAGATTCTCAATCAAAACTTCCTTAAGCTGTTCATGAGTTGCTCGGTAATGAATTTGTTGATGCATTTGAACAAACTCATCAAACATAGCCGGAATTTGATAGGATCACCCATGCTCTTAAATTCAAGAGTTGTGACAACATCTTCACCCTCATCCTCTATGATCATATTGTGCATGATCACATATTTCATCACCTCCCACAAGGTTTTCGGATCCCATTGTTTAGCAAGTCCACGAACAACTGCAAAACGGGTCTCGAGCACTCCAAATGCCCTCTTCGCACCTTTTCTAGTTTCTTCTTGTCTTTGGGCAAAGTGAGACCTTTTCTGACCAACTGGCTCAGATATGGTCATGAAAAATGTAGCCCACGAAGGATAGATAACGTCAACCAGATAGGGTCCCATCTTGTATTCATGCCCATTGACAATATAGTTGCAAGGAGGAGCTTGCCTTCAGACAGCCTAGCATATAGTGGAGATCGCTGCAGCACTAATGTCATTGTAAGACACGGACATGCCGAAAAAAGTGTGTCAAACTAAGAGGTCCTATGATGCAACTGCTTTAAGAATGATGATGGACTTCATGGTCCTGATATTCCCCTTGTAGAGCTTTTGGACTGTTGTTCCGTCTCTAGTGCATGAAATCAAGAGATCCGAGCAAACCTGGCCACTCTTTTGCTTCGCACTGCCAAGAGCCTCTCGGTCTGCAACATTTGGTTCTCTCAAGTACTGAGGTCCAAACACCTCGACCACGACAATAACAAATATGACTATGGCGTCTCCGCATGCGATCTGGAACATCCGGTGGTATTCGTCCCACGAATCCATGGCCGTCCTATATGCAAGCATCCACAATGTAGCCGTGCACATTTGGTAACCAGAGAATTCAATCATTCCTACGGCATCCCTCTTCAAGATGAAGCAGTCATTGTAGGACCGTGCGCCATTGTAAAGGTTATCGAAGACATTTTTGCGCATCCGAAAGCGTCGGCAAAAAATAGTCCGCAAATAGGCATCAGGGGCAGTGCCCTGTTCCAATTGAGCACTCGATGATGCTTGATAGATCTCATGAAATCGAGAACATGCTCCGCATCCGCAAGGACCGTCTGCATCATCGTCGTTTCATCCGCATGGCCCTCCTCATCGAACGAGTCGTTGGACAACTCAACGTAGTGCTCGTATATGTACTCCATGTCTGGTCCATTGCTTCAAAGAAGCGGCAAAAAAATTTACAAAGGCATTTCACCAAATACTTGCCGAGCGTGGCTACCACCGTAGGCATGGATGGTACCTGCACGACGGACGAACGAGAGGTCTGGACCGGCTGTGGGGGACAAGTTGCGGCCAGCCTTGTAGCGTCGGCTGGCTGTGGATCTCGCCTGGGCGGCAACGCTTGTGGCGCTGCAAAGCTGACGTCCCGCGCGACGCGCTCGTGGTGCTGCCAGCGTCCTACGCAACGTGCTCCGCTTGCGGTGCTGGTGCTGCAGTGAAGTGTGCCGAGGCTGCAATGGAACGTTGCGCAAGTCATTGAAGCTCCGCCGGAGCTGCAATGAAGCGCCAGCCGCAATTGCAATGGAGCACCGGACATTTCTGCCATGGGAGCTGCTGCGCTGAAGGTTTCTTGCCGCGCTCAGCGTTGCCATTTGAGCAGCACCTGGAATGCTGACATTTCAGCCATGGGAGCTGCTGCGCTGAAGGTTTCTTGCCGCGCTCAGCGTTGCCATTTGAGCAGCACCTGGAATGCTGCGAGGTCGCCAACGTGCACAGATGCTGGATGATGCGCGTGGTGGATGGTAGAACATAGGAGGAAGACGACGACTCCTTTTGTTGTGATCGTACGGCTGGCTAGGCAGCTTAATTTTGTAACAAATCAACCCGTCAATTTGTAGCAGCCGCCATTAGTTTTGGTACCACCGCGAGCAAGGATGTACATGTACTACAGGGCGAAAAATAGCGTCACATGTGAGATTGGTGACAGGGCACATAATAGCGATACATGTACAACAAGGATGATGTTGTTTTCTCCGTTCCGACGGGATCTTTCTTTGTAACGGACGGCACGGAGTAATTCGTGGCACTTACTCTTATATACAGCCATTACAACGCACTGTTACACACTGTTAAGCAATAAATTAACAATCTAGAACTAACTTGATACTACCGGGCCTCCCCTGTGGCTGTGGGCTGACTGCGGTTTTCGTCTCGAGTCTGGAACTAATGTGTGTAAGTAGAGGTAGGACAGCCTCCTCGGTCTGCAGCTTCAGACTGCATTGCTAGTGGCATTGCCAAGGAAATTCTCAGAGCTGGAAGTGGTCTATAATGTGCTGTATGACGTCCGCTCCTTCGTTCATAAACGCATACTTGACCTGCGTCGACAGAGCAAAAATAAGGATGACTCGGTCATGATTTTTTTTCCATAATGCAAGGGTCAGTGAAGGCCGGCACGGCACCTGGATAATGCTGTGCGCTGCGAAACTCCGCATGCTCGTGTGGAAGCTAACATCTACCTTTTCCCATGAAACGCGTCTCAGCCCTGTCACCATTTTTTCTACATGATGATAGCATAACGGGAAATGAAAAAAAGATGGTGTCAGTTTAAGGAAAGTATTTTCACAATCTTTCAGGACAAAATATTGGTGCGGATTCAAAAATAGACTTCAAAAATAGATCAAATATTGAACTCATACAGAACAATATGGGCAATGACTAATGATGCTACTTTGTCTATTTTCCAACAATGCTACTGCTTACCATACAGAAGAAGTCAATAACTACTGTTTGCGGTAGCATTGCGAGGAACATAAGACAAAACGATCTATCTAGTGCCCCACCAAGATTGCAGTCATCAAGTTGAATGTTGACTGTTGAATACCAACAATGAACTGTGAACAAATAACTTGCTTGCCAATTAGTTGTGACTAACCTTCCAAGTCTTAACTTCCACATTATAGAGTCAACAAACCAGGTTTACGGACACATACCTAAGAAAAGGACACGGCATTGGGTCGGCTCAAATATTATAGGAACTTGAATATCACTATCCAGGCTACTTTGAAGATGTTATATGGCAATATCTCGCAGGAAAAGATCAAAACTACTAAAGGCGTACGGCATCACATGAATTGGTCAACCAAGAACTGGCAGTGCAGGTATCCACAAAGGAACCGATTTGAAACTACACTGTCCAGGAGAGGTGCTAACAAATGCAAATCAATCATATGATGGCTGTGTGGCCCTCGCAAGTCTATAAACAATCCTCAACAGAAATACAATTTCAGTGGACTTTGCTATGTTAACTGTTCCACACACAGAACAAATAGACTACCATCTCCTAGTTGTCAAATTATGTTAGGTGCTGCTCAAGTCTGAAACTTCAAAGGCTAACTGCCCCTGAAATATTCATGAACCTAACTCTGCTGTCAAAAGTGTGAGATTTTCATGTGGAACTATGCAGATTCTTGCAAATCATTTTGTCTACGTATTCATAATATGTAGAATATCCTAATCATATGATAGGAGGATTGAAGCAGCATAACTCGGTAACATTGCACAGGTAATGGTCCATTCAAAAATAACAAGTGCCCAGTCGTAAGACCAAAATGGCACACAAAATTGTTCTTGGTAAAAATAACATCTTTTTTATGATTAAACAAGTGTACTTGATTTAGGAAATGTTGGATTCATTATCAACTACTCCCTCCGTTCCTAAATACTCCCTCCGTTTCTTTATATAAGGTGTATTTGTTTTTTCAAAAGTCAAACGAGTGCATGTTTGACCAAGTTCTTAGAAAAATATATCAATATCCACAATACAAAATTTGTTTTGTCTATTCCATAATGAAAAGTAGTTTCATATTTTATATATTAGATATTGTAGATATTGTTATTTTATTCTATACTCTTGGTCAAATATTCAAATGGTTGACTTGCACGAAAACCAATACACCTTATATTCTGGAACGGAGGGAGTATTTATCTTTTTAGAGATTTCAAATGGACTACCACATACGGATGTATGTAGTAGACATATTTTAGAGTGTAGATTCACTCATTTTACTCCGTATGTAGTCACTTGTTGAAATCTCTAGAAATACAAATATTTAGGAACGGAGGGAGTATGTAACATTACAAATATTATCTACATAAGGAAGATTAAGCATGCTAGAACAACGACTCAGTATGAAGCATCAATGGGAGATAGCACCGACTTAAGACTGGTGAAAGATTCAAAAAAGGAAGAGAAACAGACTTTTTGCATGTAACAATCAAACTAACCTTCCAGTAAGTCAAAATCGCAATCTGCTGCCAAATCTTGACACTTCTCATCGCTGATTTCTTCAGAGTATTCCTCATGTACAATGTGAGGATACTTCTCACATACAGATTCCTCCCACTGCAAATCATGATGAAACAGAAGGAATATTTTTACATAAGAATTGTGATATGAGAAAATCATGTTGTCCTTCTCAGATAATGGTCCAGAAAAGAAGGCATGAACAATCAAAATCAATAAAAAGAATACCTTAGGCAGCTCGGTGTTTCTTCTAATAGATGATGTTCTCCAGCCAACAATGTCTGAATGTCATGAATTTAAAGAATTGACAAGTAAAAGCTAAAAAGCCTAGATGAAAAAGAACAATGTGAGTACTACATAAAAAGATATCAAATAATTAGGATACGATCGCAATCAGCATTAGCATATGCCACTCGTCGTTTAAATGCTCGCAAAGCAGATCTAAAAAAGTTTAGTTACCCAGAATTAGTATAGTTATCACATACCATACAAGCCAGAATTAACAAAACATTACTTGCAAGAGAAATAGACATAATCGGAAGCGATCCAAAAGAAACCGAAGGGCAACATAAACCTTACATAAAGTAAAGATCGCCATAATCTTCAACCATACGCTGCAACAGTGGTGGTTCTCCCTCAGCACTATCAGTAAGAAAAAGATGTCTCCCAGTTCTCCTAAATATCCAATGGATGACACGAGAAGCAACCTTCTCAATCGTAATGAATCCAAAGAGGAGTGGAACCTAATAACAGTGAAGAACGCCACATCAAACAAAGAATATATATGGTTTCTCTACCAATAAGCTCATGGAAGAAAGGAATGCATATAATCTGGAGCAGAAAAGCAAACAAGCAATGTACTAGTAGAATGCCCGTGCGTTGCTACGGGCTTTTGAAATATTTTACAGATGTTATATGAACATAATGCATGTTAAATTTTACATATAGAAAAAAGATAGCACAACCATAACCAGGTAATAATTGAAGTTCACCTCACTTGCAATGTAAAATGACTAAAAAAGGCAATTTGACGATGTATACATATAGAGCGATTATCCAACTAACAATTTGTTACAAATTAAGAATTGCTTGATACGCTTAAAATATTCTCACATAATATCAGGATTGTTGTCTTTAACATCATTCACACGATATTTGATCAAATATAATACAAACTTCTTTCTCAACTCATTCCCATCCTGCGCAAAAACACTATGTAGTTAGCATGAATACTTCGTGAACGTCACCAGAATACATCTCTATCTCTCACATATATGCAAATAATCATATTTAACATGTACCTTTTGTATTATTATGTATAACATACATATAAAGAAGGATTATTTTCTCGTGATGTTTCAGTACGACCCATCATTGTTACGTCATTGCCTATGTCAGTTGCTATTTTTAAAACACTATCCAAGTCCATCACTTTTTAATCTCCGTTGAAGAAAACTTAAACATATAAACATATAAAAATATAAGAAATATTTTATACTACATTATATAAACATTTATAATAAATTAAAATAAAAGTGAGACTAACACAACTTTTTATATTTGCAAAAATGTTTTTTAGACAAATTTGCAAAAAAAACTAACTTTTATTTGACGAGGAAATAAAACTAACTGAGTACCCCTAATTAGATTTTTTTAGACAGCCTGAGGCGTTCATCCAGGGCCCAAAACTCTTTGAGCAGCGGATGGGCCAGCCCAAGAGTGGACGGGCCGAGCTAGAGACTGATAGATTTCTTCTGTGTTTTCTTTTCCACCTACTATACATCTTATCCAGTTCTCAAAGAAATACTATACATCTTATCCTCACGGCATCACACAGTCCTCTAACTCTCTCAGCTCGAGCCTGATCCCGTCCCTGCCGCTTCCCGTCCATAGACGGCGTCGCCGCATTCTTGTCTCCCCTCCACGGCGTCGGCCGGCCCCTCCTCTCCCAGCCATCTCTCCTCCATGTCGCGCGCCGAGCCCGTCCTCCCTTCCCTCGATGGCTTCGTCCGCATCCTCCTCCGACTGCCACGGTGGCTCGATTGGTTCGATCCACCGCCATCCACGCCCGACAGGTTATTCCGACGATGGGGCGGCGGCGAAGCTTAGCGCGATGACAGAGCCTTCCTCCAGCTCTACCAAAAAACCCTCGCTCTCCGTCCGTCTTCCTCCCTTTGCCAGCACCACCTAGCGTCGCCATGGTCGGTGGCCGCGACCACCAACAAGAGGAATCGCGAGGCGGCGGCGGCGGCACCAAGGGGAAGCCGCAGCCCGTCACTGCCAAGGAAAAGCGGGTCACAGCTAAGGTACGCATCGTTGGAGCATGGGTGTTGATTTAGAGTATGGGCTGCTTGAGTTTGAGCTGAAACCGGAATGTTCTTGACTGCATGGCAGGAAGTGTCGGAGTCGAGGAAGCCCGACTACAACCTTAAGAAAGTAATTGTTACTTTCATCATGTTTCCAGTAGTATCAGTTTCTGTATGTGATGCCATAATTTTATTCCAGTAGACAAGTTGCAATTTGTGCCTGAATCGCCACCTCTGTTTATGATGATTCAGTACCATATTTTGGGCAACTCTAATTTTGTTTGCTCGCGGCACCTAAATATTAACAGGACATCGAAGTACTATGGGGAAAGATGATAGGTCGTCATTTGAGCAAGGAGGATATAATCAAGTAAGTGTCACTATCAAAGCCTTGTGAGTTGCGACATATGTTCAACTTCTTATGTACATGGATTTCTCATCTCTACAGGCTAGTTACCGAGGCCCTCCGTAAAATGGATTGGAAATATTTGGAATTTCTGGATCCCATGTAAACGCATCTGTTCTTCAACTAAGTTGCTGACACTCATTCTTTATGAATGCGTTGCATATGGTGTTTTGGTACTTATTCTGATAGCCACCATTTTTTGTCAGACATGTGTGTAGTGGTTCTCACACTCAAGAGAGTGGCAAGGTACATTTTCTGTTATTTTTTTCTCTTTCCATTTTCTTATTATATCTTAAGAGACATATTTCAGAGTGATCACTTGGTTTAACTTTGCCCACTCATTTGTTTTATCCGATATTTATTTATTAACTTCTGCAGATTCTAGAGACACTAAATAGTCATGCAAATTGAACTGTACAATAGTTAGTGCCTCACACTGCATATTCAGTATTATTTTCCTTCTCGCTTATTTCCAGTGTGCTTTTGCAATTTAACACAGTAATGATTTTCAGGTTAGGACGCATATTATCAGAATCTTGAAGAAGCAGATTATGAAGCTTGATGTCAGTGATTATGGATGCCTCGTAAGTGATGTCTATATATGTAATATATTTTAGTGTTCAAATAGGATCATACTGTGTGGCTTCTATGCTTTAACCTATACAAACATTCTCCCAGTGCACAGTAACTTCAGATGGTTTTATGCTTCCAAGCGATTAATCATCAGCTGAACTAACATGTCTTTTATCCTCCAGTTCTTTGTTTGTCTTCTCTCCATTGTCGATGACAGAAAACTTGTTACTAATTCTAACCGACACCAATTGTTTGCTTGAAGCAAGCATTATGCTACCATTACAAGCAATCTGAAGAGACAATGCTTATAGCTTACTTTCAATATTTGTAGGTTCTATTTGAAGAGCTGACAAAGCAGTTAAAGGAAATCATATTGATAAGGTAAGAGGAATTCCAAGCTTATAATGTGCTTATTTTTACTTGTTAGTTATATGCACATGAGACTATTTATGATAGAGCTCCTTGCTGGAACAGACCGGGAGACGCCAATTGCTGCAGCTATTGCACACACTTTGCTCACATTATCTGACTCCGGCTGATTCAGTTTGTCTGAATTTCAATGTGCCTTCCCTTATTTCACTAAAAAAATATCAGTATATATAACACCACCTAATAGTACCAACGAATGACGTACGAACTGCTCCATTAGGAGTAGAGATACGTAGTTCCTTATCCATGTATTTCTAACAAGAGATTCTATGCAACTGAAGTTTAAGTCATTATTTTTATTTCTATATGATATTAGATGCCTCAGGTTTTTACCATATTGAGAAGCAGATGAATTAGAAAGAAATATGAAACCTTAGTAATTTTGTTCTTCTTTACCAAGTCACTGTCCAAGCATCTTCCTCCTGCATATGTTGGAAACTTCACGCTGTCTCTTGTTATTTCCAGCTTAAACAGGTCCATCTTTGACCAAGTATAGGACGGGCAGATGTCGCGAAAGGAATACTCATGGTTTCTGAAGACTGACCATGCTCCCTCGAGTACTACGCAGCAACAAACTCAGGTCAGTGTGCATTAAGATCTACAATAGTATGTGGTTGTAATGCAGAATTGAATACTTTACCTTGAGTTGCTATAATTTGATCCGGCGACTTCATGTGCTAAGGACTTCCTTGTAGACTATGTTCTTCATGGTCGTTAATAAGGGCTCAGATCTTTTTCGCTTATTTGAATTATTGATTTGTTCCTTGCCCTTGCCCTTGCCCTTACCATTGTCGTTGTCCTTGATGGCGAGAATCTTAATGTTCCTCTTCGCAGTGGCTCTAGACAATGCGACGTAGAGCTGACCGTGAGAGAATATCGGGTCTGGTAGGTACACCCCGACAATCGGGATGGTCTGCCCTTGTGCCTTGTTGATTGTCATGGCAAAACTGAGCCTAATAGGGAACTGCTTCCTCTTGAACTTGAAAGGGAATATATCGTCATCGGATGGGCAGAGAGGTATCCGAGGAAGGAACACCCTCCTACCAGCATGTTGTCCTAGCACGATTTCTGCGTCGATGGCGTTCCTTTGGAAACCCCGGACCACAAGCCTTGTGCCGTTACACAACCCATTAGCTGGATCAATGTTTCTCAACAGTATAACGGGGCAATTTAACTTCAGTTTGAGCGCATGCGGAGGCAGCCCGTTGGGAGTTAGGTTGTTCAGGAACTCGGGGGCATAGTAGCCATGTGGATCATCCTCTGCAATATCAAAACTGTGGTAGATCTTCTCTTCGCCCTGGAAGCGCTCTATCATGCGTGTGTTTACCTTATCAATGTTGTCGTTCTTGGTGGAGAGGATCGCTCGAGATGTCATGTAATTTGGATCAGCCATGTTGTCGTCTAGAGCAGGAAATACATGGTCGATTAGCTTCTCTAGGTCAACGCCGTCTTCTGTTGGCTGCACACAAATATCTTCTGGGAGCCTTATGTTGCCTTCCTCGTCGGTTTCCTCGGTGCCGTTGCCTACCCTTAGCAAGTAATCTGCGAACCACGGGTCGTTATGCGCCCTCATGTTGGTGAGGAGCCTTAGGTGGCGCATGCCCTTCCATATGTACGAACTCCGCAAGGTCGCATCAATTATCTGACCCCGTGACCCCTTCCTGACGACCGGAAGCACCTGCCTGAAGTCCCCACCGAACACGACAGTCTTTCCCCCGAATAGTCGGTCCCGTCGTCCCATGATGTCCCACATGCTATTGTCCAGTGCCTCAACCGCTTGTCGCTTCGTCATGGTGGCCTCGTCCCATAGGATGAGTGAAGCCATGTGCAGGAGCTTGGCCGTTCCACTTTGCTTGGTGAAGTTGCACGACCCCCCATCTTCAATGCTGAGTGGGATCTTGAACCTCGAGTGGGCTGTCCTTCCTCCAGGCATGATGGAAGCCGCGACGCCCCACGTCGCCGTAGCCACCACGATCTTGCCCTCGCCTCGAACCTTTGCGAGCAGTGCCTTGTATAGGAAGGTCTTCCC